CCCCCCCCCCCCTCATGGATGAGGTCAGTAAAATTTTAACACCTAAGAAGAAAAAAACCTCAGAAATTTTTTGCATAAATTTTCCACAATGCCCCTCAGAAAAATTGCAGAGATCAAATGATGCCGACAGGCTTAATCCTGTCTTGTCCGAAACTTTGATCTCTCACATTACAGAGGGGTAGAAGTTCCAATGTCAATCTCTCTTTATATGTCATTTCTCAGCAATTATTCATTTCTGTCCATATTTTTTCGAAGTAACAATCCATAGAATATTTCGAGCTGTCAGGATGGCATGACCTGTTAGTGTAACTGTATAAATTAAATGAGCATGCCGAGTTCAATTAACACTATCATGGAAAGTGCAGGTTGGACTCAAGAGTCAACATTTGTAAGGTTTCATAACAAACCTATTATAAGTAAGGACAACTTTGGCAACAGCTTACTGCAAAAATGCAGAGACAGTTAATGTTTGCGTTTAATACGCCATGTTATGTTATATAATTATGTTATGTTAATGTGTTCATGTATAAATAATGAACATGGGAGTTTACCATTTGACTGGATATTTTACTCCCTCCGCACTCGTACTGCTTTAAAATCTCACGTGACTCCGTATAGCGACAATGACCAATGATGAAGCAGAATTGAAAAATTAAACGAGACTTACCTGTAAGGTGAAGTTTGATTTTGGTTCTGCGAATCATTGGTCTGGAGCTATAGGAGTCATGTGCCCACCCAAATGGTTTTTCCCAACCCATATTTGGTACGAGTGCTCCAGGCTTGTTTTAAATACTGATCCATCTGGTTCGCGCGCTATCTCACATGACTCCTATAGCTCCAGACCAATGATTCGCAGAACCAAAATCAAACTTCACCTTACAGGTAAGTCTCGTTTAATTTTTCAATTTCATCCCAGGATTTATGGTGGTATACACATGGGCATACAGGAAGGAAAAAATTAGGGGGGAGGGAAGAAATTTGCCTGACTTTTTCGGATTGGGCCCGCGTTGTTAAAAAATTTCCGGAGAAATTTTCCAAAATTGTTGTCGACAGGGGGGGGGACTAGTGATTACGAAGAATTCCTATTAGATAGATAGCATATTTCCCACAAAATTGACAGAATTCCCCACAAAATTTGTCCCATTTATTTTTATAATAAGCCAATATTGCCCAAGTGTGAAGCGAATATTGCCTGACTGGCTTTGTTTGCCCAATTATTATAGAATTAAGCTAGAATGCCTGTTATGTCGACTAGAAACATTGAAGTGCATAATCAGTCACCCAGTTTTGATTTCCTATCATTTTTAATATAGATTGCTATACAATCCCAAAAATGTAATGTCCGCAACACAAACTTTGCACTATAAAAGCTGCGCAAGGGCATTGTAGAACATCTCGTTTTCATATTTTTTAACCCCAATTATCACTGAGAGCAGGAAGTGTTTTAGTTCCTTTGATACCTTTCAAAGTTCACAGGAAATTACATTTTAAAAACATCACTTCAATGTGTGGTTGATTTTGCTGTAATGTCCGCAACAGCATACCTGTAGATTTTATTTTTGTGGAGGTAGCCAATCTTTAAATGGAGCTAGGCTATGCCACATTCTCGTACCCAGAGCCCGCCTTACACACGATCAACAGAGCATGACAAGGACGCGGTGTACGAGAATGGGTTTGCCTCAACAGTCAACTGCAGATCAAAATTTAGCCTCTGAACGAGAACAAAATGCCAAGTGTGTCAATGTCATGTTTATGCGCATATTCTGGGTATTTCAGTCTTATTTAATACAGTGGAATATAGAAGTGCATTCTGAGAGTTCTTGCAGTTATTCCAGTTAGTCAGTAACTCCTGGCTTAGATAACAAGCTCCAAATGATTTTTGGAGTTGGCAACACAGCAAGTAACTTCAACCTTACATGTATGTACTGTACCTAGCTGCTATATAGGCTGACTTGCCTCGCTATACACATATTGGCATGCGCAACAGTACTTTGACTTTTTATTACAAGAATTGATTACGAGGGAATTTTGTTCTATTTTATGAAATCTTACTGTCGTTCCAATTGAAGTGTTCCTCAAATATTGGTTCAATACATTACCTCAGGCTGACTAATTCATTTGATCAAGTTCCTCGAAATATTCATACACTTCCTGTGAAAGAGCCAATTCCAAGAATTTGATCATTTTTGGTCACTTCCTTTCTATTTATGATTGGTTAGTTGCACAAACAACAAAGGTGATTGGTGCATTCAAACAATTCAACAGGAAGTTTACAATTACACTAGGAAGTGTATGAATATTTCTAGGAACTTGATCAAATGAATTGATCAGCCCAAGGTAATGTATTGAATCAATATTTGAGGAACACTTCAATTGGAACGACAGTAAGAGGTCCCCACAGGAAACAGAGCATGTTTTGTATTAATTGTTTTTCTGTGAATGTAATGTCCGCAACGTGAAATTGCCCAATAATATTTTAACAACATTTCATTGCACTAGAAGTATAAATAATCCAAACTTAATAAATTTCCAACCAAAAACAACAGATAATTACAAAAATGGTCTCAGTTTATAAATGGATCCCTCAATCAACACATATATTTAAAAAGAACAAAACAATCACAAAACAAATCTAACAATTTAAACAATCCCAAAGTGATTTTAAGATAATTTTGAAAAAGAACGTATTACCCAACCCAAATTACCTTTCAATTTATGTTGCCCAGCTAGTGGGGCAGCACATTGTCATGCATACTCATATGATCTTCAAGTTTGCTGGCAATTTCAAACTCATCATCACAGACACAACATATATAGCCAATACCAGTTGCTTCTCTTGCTTCTAATTCCTTACAGACATCACATTGGTAGGACGTACCATGGTCTTTGGCCTTGTGCTGATATAAACTTTCAATATCAGGGGACTGTTTGTTGCATTTGTCACAGTCATTTCTCACAGTCATCTCATTAGCATGTCTTTGTCCTTGAATAACTTCTTTGCCACAGTTGTGGCACAATAATAAGCCATTTCTCAAATGTGATCTCCAGTGACATCTGAGACTTTGTCGTTGTGTGAATGTTTTCTTGCAGATACAGCACTCAACACTCTCATTTCTCTTGTGTGCTGATACTTTATGTTGTGTTAACTTGTGTGATTGTGAAAATCTCTTGTTGCAAGCATCACATTCATAAGGTTTGTCAGAGGTATGTGTTTTTTTGTGGGTAGCTAAGTTGCTCGATTGTGAAAATCTCTTCTTACAAGTATCACATTCATAAGGTTTGTCTGCAGAGTGTGTGTTTTGATGGGAAGTTAAGTTGCTCAATTGTGAAAATCTCTTGGTACAAATATCACATTCATAAGGTTTGTATCCAGTGTGTGTTCTCTTATGGGAAGCTAAGGTGCCTGACTGCAAAAATCTTGTGTTGCAAACATCACATTCATAAGGTTTGTCTCCAGTGTGTGTTCTCTTATGAACCGCTAACACGTCTGATCGCAAAAATCTTTTGTTGCAAACATCACATTCATAAGGTTTGTCTCCAGTATGTGTTGTTTTCTTATGCCTAGCTAAATTGCCCGATTGTGAAAATCTCTTGTTACAAATATCACATTCATAAGGTTTGTCTCCAGTGTGTGTTCTTTCATGTCTAGTTAATAAGCTTGACTTTGAAAATCTTTTATTACAAACATCACATTCATAAGGTTTGTCTCCAGTGTGTGTTCCTTTAGTTTTATGTCTCACCAAATTTCCTTTCGTAGAAAATACCTTGTTAGAAACCTCGCATTTCCTAGACATGGTTTCAGCTTTTGATCTTTTCCCCGTACGGTCAAATATCGATAAAAATATCACCCAACTGTTCCCTCCAGTCGTTCTTTATTAAATCGTCATAATACTTCGGTTCTTACAGAATTTCTGATCATAAAAACGAGAAATTCGGAGGCACAGTTTGCAAACAACACGAGTATAAAAAATATGGCACATTTTTTATATGGTGTTTCCACTTCACAAAAGCGAAATTTCGCGAGATTTCGCGACAGTTACCGTAGAATAAAAGCAAAAACATAAACGAAAAAATAAATTAACCCACCCTCATGGTACAGGATGGATTCTTTTGAATAGAGGAAACTGATACATCTTTCTCGCAGCGATTTGTTTTGCCAAACTTATCAGTGTTTCATTTTATATATTTCACTATTGTGGAAGCCATGTTTGCGCTAGATGATAACTCTTATATAACAAAATGGCTGATAGTGATGTACTTGAAAAATACACTCATGCGTCTAAATCTAAGCGGTTCTCGGCCATTTTATCCGTATGCCGAACAGCCGAAGTAACAATGTTGGAATTATAGATAATTAAAATTTATTTGCGGCAAATAAATTATCATTAAATACGAGTTGAAAATTGTGTTCTGAGGGTCACGCATAATGTTACGTCATTACAATGAAATGCTTAAGGACAGAATGCGCAAACAGAAGACAGAAGTGCAAATGCAATTACGAACATCAAAATTCAATTCTTTAATATCAAAATTCAATTCATTGATATCATAAAGCACGGAACGAACTACAAAATCTAGAACTTGGAACGCAAAATTCAAACATTAATTTTGGCGGTAATCACCCTCCATATAAACGAGTTAATTTAAGAACTAGCGGCAACTATAATCATCGTGTCTCTTGCGTATTTTCCTTCTCTTTTACAGTAAAACTTATAAACCAAAAATATTCATCTATGTACGTAGCCGGTCCGGGTCAGTGCAGGTAACAACATTCCTCTTGTCGCCCGGCGGAATACATTACATTTATCTAAACCCACGTAACCACAAATCAGCTAATCACGTTTATTGTTCAACCTAGCTCTATATCGACACAGAATACGGTATTTACTCGTTTAAGCGCCGCGGCGCTCTTTAAATTTTCAGAGCTTCAGATGCGGCGCTCATTCGAGGGCGGCGTTCAATCGGGGGCGGCGCTCTTTAAAAAAAACTTCTATTTGTGGGTTATAACAAGAACTTTTAACATTAAAACAAACAGGTTTTAAAAGATTTTTGTCACCAAATGTTCCCATTTTGACGGCGGAAAGTTTTTATACTTTTCAGTGTGGCGCTCATTCGGGGGCGGCGCTCTTTAAAAAAATTTGATCTCAAATGCGGCGCTTATTCGGGGGCGGCGCTCAATCGGGGGCGGCGCTCAATCGGGGGCGGCGCTCAATCGAGTAAATACGGTATACATGCGTTCCAATAAATCGTCCAATAGAAACGCAGCCATGTTTTGCGCATGCATCAGGCGAGAGGGCGCGGCTATATAATATTTGCACTTTTAGTGAAGTACCTTTAAATTTCAGAGCCGTTGAGAATATCATGAAGGTTTTTCGTGCAATGTTTACGGTACACGTTCTGATGTTCTTCCTGCTGCTTGGTCTTGCCACATCAGAGAAAAACATTTACGTCGATTATGAGAGTAATCCCGATCACCCGTTTCCTGTGATACGTCGGGGTAAGTCTGCTTTTATTCTCTTTATGCTATATTGTAAGTGATTATGTATCCTGAGTGAAAAACACTTTTGAAGGTAAAAAACACTTTTAAAAGGAGAGAAATCGTTTGTAGGACAGTTCTATTGATTCCATATCTTTGACTTGAATCTATGGTTGTTACATCTTTGTCGTACTAATTTTTACTCAGTGACTTTTCGAATTCAATAACATGTCGGGTAAAGATTTAAGAAATCATATCTATATATCGACTTTAGATTGCGCGAAACTAATTCACACAAATGTGAGGCACCTGAGCGAACGTACATGTATGTGCGACGCGAATTTAAATGCAACTCAAGGTATATAGCTTTGACAGACAGACAGTTGTCGAAGAAATGAATTATACGTGGAAATGCCCGTTCGCAAATTAAAGCCGTTTTACCGATAATACCCGCAAAACATCCTTATGTCCACGAATTTTTTTACGTTTCTTGAATATCACAGCGCTAATTCGGCTACAGCGTGTCAAATATCTTACTTTCAGTATACGCTAGTAACATAATTTCGATGCAATTTGGACGAAATTTGTGGCAGGCCTATAACGGTGCATGTCTATAGTTGTACGAATAATTTATTAGATACCAATAATCTAATATAGTTTATTCGTTTCTCCCTAATTAACCTAATAGACGGTCTAGTCCGTGTGTTGTGACCCGATATCGTTCACTTTCATTAAGCATGTCTTAGATCTGAAATATTTTTACGGGAACTAACCCTTCCGAACACGCTGATTTCAAATCCGAAAAGTTCCCACTCCGTAGACCCGCAGTTTTTTCACAAAATGCTATTTTATCTTCACTAATTTCACAACAAATTTTTTCATTGTTCAACGATACGGATCGATGACGATACACGATTATGTCACTCAAAAGGACCAATTTCTATTAACCATTCTTCCTTTTAACAAAAGATCGGTTCTGCTCGAATCATTTTGAGTTATGGAATCTTATGCGTGTTGGACGTAAACAACATATCTTGTCTATAACTTTGAGAAGGTACAGATAACGCTTTCTAAAATCCTCAGTTCTAGAGATATCTCTTTAAAATCACAATGACGTTAATGTCAAGTCTTTTAGCTATGTCACTGGCCTGAAAAATAACGCTGTTAACGCGATCAAGATATTTAAAACAAAAGTAACGCGAAGCCAACGTAACGGCAAAGATAACGCTAAAACGAAATATTGTCGAATGGTTGCAGGTAGAAGACTTACGACAGGATCAATCTTAAATAACCTTAAACTATAAGAATAAATGTTCACATCAAAGACAAAGATGAGTCACAAAGTATGAAATACGCTCTGTAAACTTACCGCGAAGTGGAGAAATGGGTGCATGAGCTGTTTATTTGATGATTTCGACGTATATAGAAGCCATCTTTCCAATAATACTCGCTTATCGCACAGTATAACACAAACTGATGTAATAGTTCAAATGCAATGATAAGTTATTTCTTGAATTACGTCTTGGAAACCGTGTTGGAAATGTCAGTGCTGATCCATTACATATAGATTACCGTTTTAGATCTTTGTATAAAACATTTTGATCGCATGTAAGGAATTATTTCTCAGCCCAGAGACATAGCCCAAAGACTTAACATTAACGTCCTTGTGATTTTATAGAAATAGATCCAGAACTAAGGATATTAGAAGGAATTATCTGTACCTTCTCAAAGTTGTAGACAAGATATGTTGTTTACGTCCAACACGCATAAGATTACATAACTCAAAATGATTCGAGCGAAACCGGTCTTTTGTTAAAAGGAAGAATGGTTAAT